CCTCCCTGAGCCTCCCACCCCACCCCCACCCTCGCTTCACCAGCCCCCCCAAAAGGCAGCAGCACAGCTCATCTCCCAAATCTCCCTCAGCCTCAGCCTCCCTGGTACTGCCTGTGATCCATCCGCACCCCCAGGGGAGGACGGTGGTAGAGGCCATCAGGGCACCCTTGAGAAGAGCCCCGAGGGCCACTCACCCTGTGGCCCCTGAGAACAGGCAGGATGCTGGGCAGCAACCCCCGCCCCGCCAGCCAATAAAACACCTGTCTAAGGTATTCTGTTACAGCGTCATGAATGGGCCCACAGTTCCCCTCCCCCCCACCCCAGAACCCACTACTCCCCACACACACCCCAGGACCCACAGTTCCCCTCCCCCCACCCCACTACTCCCCCCACACACCCCAGGACCCACAGTTCCCCTCCCTACCTCCACCCCAGAACCCACTATTTACCCTCTCCACCCCACCCTGGGACCCACAGTTCCCCACCCCCACCCCAGGACCCACTGCTACCCTCCCCACCCCACCCTGATGACGAGGGGCAGAACTGGTGACTGTCCACATCCCCGCCCACTGGAGCCCAGCCCGGGCTTTGTCTCAGAGAACTGTCCCCAGCCCAGGGAGGCCCCCAGACCATAACCCTCTGACAGTTCAATGGAAGAGTCCAGAACTGAGCTGGAGCGTGAGCCCAGGGCCCTGCAGCTCATGCTCTGCAAGTCCACTGGCCAGCCGCATGGTCACCGCTCCACGTGCCCGGCTGCGGCTGAGAGAACGCGGGACCAAGGGTGCCCCAGGGGAGGCCGCTGGTGACCTTTGGCCTCTCCCAGGTCACTGGACCGCCACGTCCCGGATTCTCTCCACCAAGCAGCCTGCTGTCATTCACGCCGTGAGTGGAGACAGCAGCTGTGCTGACCAGATCCCCGCGGGGCATCCAGGCCAGCCGGCCCACGCTCTCGCAGGGATCAGGTTCAAGAGCTAACTGCTCCTGGTCACCCACACCCCGCGGCCCCCGCGCCAGAGCTGTGCCTTCCCAGGGCTGGTCCCATCCTTGGACTCCGGAGACTGCTCCCGCTAAGCGTCTGAGCCCCGCGCTGCCACTCGGAGTCTCAGGGTCCCATTCCTTCCTCTTCCACAACCTCATTTTCCCCTAAGAGCTGGAGGGACCGCAAACATCACCGGAGCTGCCGCAGAATTCCTCCACTGATCTCAGCAGTACGGCTGCGGCCGCAGGACCCAGGGACCCTGGTGGGCCGAGAGGCCTGTGCTCTCCCGGGACTCACTGTGTCCATAGGCCTGACCGTGTCCTTCCTTCCCATTGGCATCCAGATGCCCAGGTGAGCCCACGTCCTCCCGGTCACCCGGGCTGCCCTCCGGAGCCTGGGCACAGGACACGCACAGCAGGTGACAGCTGGCGTGGCCAGGAAGCCCTGGCATGGCAGGTCCTCACAGGTGACCCAGGGACCAAGCCCACGTGAGGGCCTCCCTGGCCTGCCCCAGGACCACCCCCTGTGCGTGTGCACACCAGTGCTTGAGCGGGCAAGGTCCATTGGACGGGCCACACCACCAGTCCATCTGAAGAACTGTGAATCCCTTGAAATCATGGACGTGGTAGCGGCCCCGTTCAGAGATGGCAGACCTGGCCTGGGAAGCAGGCTGGAGTCAGCAGTGACCCAACGCCCCCTCCCCCAGCGCCCCCTCCCCCAGACTCCGGCAGCTACGTCCTGTCCACACACTGGCCTTGCCACCGGGCAGCATTTTCTATCTGCCTCCACTCTGACCAATCTCCCAAGTCCCACTTGGCACGTGAGGGGTCTGAGGCTCTTTCACGGAAGCCCCCCAGCAGAGGGAGTGCAGGGCCTTCCTTCAGAGGCAGCATGCTGGGTACCAGGGCGGGGGGGGGGTTCGGAGGCCAGCACTGACACAGGGGTGCAGGACCGAGGGTCTGGAAGCTGGTAACCAAGTCAGGCCTGGAACGGGGAAGCCTGGATGGGGTGGGGCACCTAGGATGGGGCGCCCGGGCTCCGGCTGAGATTGACTCTGCTCAGAGCCCGCCTCCTCCCAGCAAGTAGGCCAGGCTGGTATCTGGGACCCTGGGAGACAGCTCTGGGTAGAGAAGGGACTGTCCTGCCTCTCCAGCCAGCCTGCCTGCCCCCTGAGGGTAGGGTTCCAGCCCCACATTCCCCATGGACCATGCATAGCTGCAGCTAAGCCGCCCTGCAGCCTGGCCCTCCCGCCAGCCAGCAACAGCAAGGCCCACCTTGCTTGCAAGGCCCTGGGAGCCCACCGCCCTCATTAGAAGGGAGAGAAGACTCAGGAAGGGGGCCCGCCAGCCCCCTTGGGTGACAGGGACAGAACTCCCAGGCCAGGTGAGCACCTTTCTTCCCAGCAGCCCCTGGGGCTTATCAGACTGAAGGTTTGAGGAGAAAGGAAGAAGAGCCTGTCCGGTGGCTCACGCCTGTAGTCCTTGCCACTCAGGAGACTGAGCTCAGAGGCTTTCTGTCCAAAGCCAACCTAGACAGAAAAGCCATAAGATTCCATCTCGATCAGCAAAATACCAGACTGGAGACATGGCTCAAATGGGAGCGTGCCAGCTGTGAGCCATCCAGCTGAGAGAAGGCGTGTAAGGCTCTGCATTCAGGCCATGAAAAGAAGTAACTGCAGGGGACCGGGAAGGAATGGGAGGGGGAGGCACTCGTGGGGAGGGTGGGGAGGACCCTCACCCCCAGGAGCCTCGCCTGCCCCTCCCCCACACGAGCCCGCAGAACTCCAGAGTGCCCAGCATCACAAAGGAGGCGGGAAGTGACCTCACCGCGAGACCCTACCTGACACCACTCTCCTCCATCGGGAGCCCCACTCCCTCGACTAGCTTCACCCCAGTTCTGGGACAACCCAACCTTCAGGGCCCTGGCCAGGGGGTGGCCACTCCTGAGAGATCACAAGGTGAGTGAGCCAGGGCTGGCCCCAGGAGGACCCTGCCTGCGCCGGCTGGCTGCGCTGACTGCGGCGGGGAGGGAGCCTCGCGCCCCTGCTGCCCAGGATCTCTAGCGCCGGGCAGGGGGCCACACCATCCAAAAGCTCCCCGCCCCCTCCACAGCAATGCACAGAGGCCCCCAGAGCATCTCCACGGAGACTAGGTGTGGTGCCAGCTGCAGCTGGGCCTGGCCACTACAGGTGCCGGCCACGGCCCGGCTCCCGGCTCCCGGCTCCCGCCCTGTCCCAAGCATAGACCCCTCACACTGCCCTGTGCTAGCTGGCCCTGTCTGAAGGGGTTATTATTATTGTACATGAATTCACCGCAAGTTTGTAGGCCAGAATGAAGTGAACTGGCCAAACTGTTCAAAGTCACAAGACTAGGGGGACGTGAGGCAGGCTTCGCAGACAGGGCTGATGCGCTGGCCGCGGGGGGGGGGGGCATGCAGGGAGACCTGCCCGTGGGCAGCTGTGGCCTCTGGGGCGCGGCAGAAGTAGGAATACCGCCACAGCGGTGGAACAGTGTGAACGAAGCGACCCCGCGGAGCAGTGTGAAGCTGGTGACGCTTGCTTATTTGAACTTGGAGGCCAGGTCAAGAAAGGCCCCCCAGAAAGCTAGACTGGTGGAGGGAGGCTGGGGAGAAAGGTGTCCAGAGGCACAGCCCGAGCTGATGGGGCCACGGAGCCCTGGGGTGACGGCAGGGGAGCAGTGACCTCTGAGCTCAGCACTGGTGGGGAGTAGAGGGGTGGGACTTCCTGGGGAGGGGAGTGTGGGACAGAGACCCTCAGAGGAACTCAGAGAGTCTGAGGGAGGGCTGGCTCCAAGAAGCCTGAAGGAGGCCGCTGTGGGGCCGGGGGCAGGGGAAAAGCCAGGGTCCAGCTCAAATCAGCACCATGTTGGAAAACCAAGAAGACCTGCTGGCCCTGCCAGCTTTGTAGGGACTGACTGGCAGGGCCCAAGCAGTGTCCAGCCCTTCCTGAGTTGGGGCACTTGGCAGACAAAGCCCAGGCAGGTGAAGAGACACACAGGAAGCCAGGCAGCAGTGGCTCTCACATGGAGGCTGAGGTCTGAGGATGGAAGTTCAAAGCCAGCCCCAGAAGGAAGGCTAGGAGACTCTTACCTCCAATTAACCACCAAAAAGCCAGATGTGGAGTTATGACTTAAGTGGTAGAGTGCCAGCCTTGAGCAGAAATACAAGGGAAAGCACTAAGCCATGAGTTCAAGCCCCAGTACCAGCACAAGAAAAGGAAGGACAGAGAGAGAGAGAGAAAGAGAGGAAGAGGAAGAGAGAAAAGAAGGAGGGAGGGAGGGAAGGAAGGAGGGAGGGAAGAGAATCTGGGAGCCCACACTGAGCCAGAGCAGATCTGAGGCCCAGGCCCATGGAGCACACTCAGAAGTCTCTGTCCCCACAGACTTCCCTGTCTAGCCTGTGGTGTCCTTAGCAGCAACCTGTCCCCAGCCCTGTGGGTCTCCCACTGCCGCCCACTACTGCCCACTGCCTGTATGAGAAGATAGAGGAGTGGGGCCCAGCTGCGCACCGCCGGGCGGCTGCCTGACCTGCACGGTCACCACGCTCTGGTGGGAACCCATCCTTCATTCCCCCATGGCTCCTGGGCTCCAACAGGAAAGGAGGGCAGCGTGCCCACAGGCTGAGCAGCTCCCTTCCTGAATCCCGGATGCCCCCGCAAGGCGCCCGGCCCACTGGTCCAGGACGCATCCCCCACCACCCCTGCACCAGCTCGGCAGGCAGGCCCCCTGCGAGGCCCGGGGCAGCCTGGGCCCTGGGCTTCCTGGGCCAGGCAGCATCTGCATCCTGGGCTGAGAGCAGAACCATGGGAATGGAGCTGACCTTGAGCCCAGCCTACCGCCTCAGCCCGCCGCAGTGCCTCCCCCGGCGTGGGGAGCCCAACCTGGAGACGGCTACTGAGGGAGTCCTGCTCGCCGGGCACCCAGAGCCCGACATGTGGGCTAGTGGGGAGAAGCAGGGGCCGCGCATCCCAGCCAGCGGGCCAGGCATCAGGAGCTCCCCACCGCCTCTCCCTGCCCTGGCCTGCAGGTCGCTCAGCCGTGCGCCTTCCGTCCCTCCTCCGTCCGTCTGTCCGGAGTCTCACTGATGGAGAAGTCTGAGAGCCCGGTGGGCATCATGGAGCGAGCCGGTGGGCCCGGGAAGCGCAGGGGCTTCCCGCCGTGGGGGCTGCTTCCTCCGCTGCTGCTGGTGACCTGCGCGCTGGTGGTGGTGGGCGTCCTTTACAGCAGAGGTGAGTGAGCGCCCCGCGCCCGCGCCCCGCACCCGCGCCTGCTCACAGCCGTCCCTGAATGGGACAGGAGCCCGCCCAGGGCTCGCGGCTCCCAGGGCTGTGAGGGACACTGACCTGCAAGGAGCTGGCAGCCCCTTCCAGAAAGCTCTGCTGCGGCTGGAGCTGGAACCAACACGGGTGCCGCGGTGTGCTCCCCGCCCACCCCTCTGCCTCTGCCCGACTCCTGACGCATCCCCGCCCCCTCCCGCCAGCCCCCTCCCCAGCCTCAACCTCGCAGCCTGCTGCAGAGCGCAGCTGCAGTTCCCAAAGAGCCCAGCAGCTGGAGCCCACGGCCTGGAGCCGGCCCCTCCCCCACTGCACCCCTGCCCCTCCCTCACCCCCCACAACAGGTCAGGTGACAGTCACCAGGACCTGGTGTTTTCCCAGGCTCTGGTGTGAGGCCCTGGGTGCTCCCCAGGACCCTCTGACCCCCACAAGGTCCCTGACGCTCCCCTGTGGGTACAGCCTGGGCACCTGCAGCCCTGCATCTGCACGCCTAGGTGGTACTGCTACACTCCCACAGGGAAGGCACAGAATTTAAGGATGGTGCGCTTACCTGGCTGGGCACATGCACAGGTACCTTTGCTACTAGAAGGTTCCCACACACATCTGCCCACCGCTGGGCCTCTCTGGTCTCTGACCCACCAGGATCTCCCTGGGGAGCCAAGAGCCCAAGAACCTTTGTTTGGGACTCACTGGACTCAAAACATGGGGTTTGAGACTTCTGGGGAACAAAGCCCAGACCCCACCATGGAGCTGTGTGTGTGGGGGGGGTGCGTGCAAGCCTGGAGACTTCTAGGTAGGCCAAGGAGCCCATCCCACAGGAAAGACCCTGCTTGCTGCGCTCTCTCTCCTGTGATCTCGGATGCCAAGAGGTCTCTGCCCTGGCCTCTCTCTGGGTCTGCAGGCCAGCCTCTGGCCTCGCTTCAGGAACTCACTGGGCTGTGGCCCCCTCGAGTTCCTCCCAAGGCCATGCAGTCTCATCTTCTTGGCCGTAACTCTTGTCCCCCAGAAGGACCAATGATGTACCAGCCAGACTTGGCCGGGTCCTGGATCTGTGCTGGCAGGAGGTTTTTACATTATTCATTTCTTCTCTGAGCTTTTCCTGACTGTTCATTTGTTTATACTTTTTTTTTAATTTCCAGGTGGATGTGAGCATTTAGTTGCCTTTTTTACATTATTGCTGATTTCTGGCCTAATTGTGCTGTTGTCAAAATCTTCCCAACATTGCCATGAGATTCTCTGGGGTTTGGTGAGCTGGCCTTGGAGCTGATGCTCCGTCAGGTTGACACAGTCCAGGTGTGTACTGTGGGGCATGCTGGCAGCAGCGTGTGCCTCCCAGGAGGTAAATCCAGTCTGGTGTATATTTGCATTCTTCATTCTCTTGTCTGTTAAAAGATGAGTGTGTGTGTGTGTGTGTGCACGCGCGCGCACATGTGTATGTCTTATGCTAGAGAGTTGTCAATTTTCTGTAGTTGTGTAAAGCATTGACCTACCTTACCCACTGAAGACTATTATTGGGGCTAGGAAGGTGGCTCAGTGGTAGAGTGCTTGCCTTGCATGCATGAGGCCCTGGGTTTGATTCCTCCGTACCACATAAGCAGAAAAAGCTGGAAATGGCGCTGTGGCTCAAGAGGTAGAGCACTCACCTTGAGCTGAATCGCTGAGGGACAGCGCCCAGACCTAGAGTTCAGGCCCCACGACCAACAGGGGAAAAAAAGACTTTATTATTTTACAGATACAAAATTTGGTATAAGTTGTAAAGTTGCTTTGATCAATGTAACACAATGTGACACTTAACTGTACACGTGAGATTAATCTATTTTCTACTACATATCATTCTGCAGAAATGCTTTCAATCCTCTCAATTCTGTTTTGCTTTCAGTCCCATTCTGCCTTGCACATATGAACACAGCTCACTGCCATTTGCTTTTGTCTGTTTTCCCCATTCCTTTCTCTGGAAACATTTGCTATCTTGCATCAGATGCACCCCCTTGCAGCCGTGAATAGCTTGCATTTTGGTTTTGTCTGTTTGCAGCCCCGTGATTACCGAAATGTGTCTTTTTGTCTACTGTGTGCATTGTGATTCCAACGCCTGGCTCTGCTCTTATCTTGCTTTTGTTTAGATGATCTATTATTATTCATTCCACTTCCCTTTGATCTGCTTGAAGCTTTTATATTTCTATGCCCTTGAGGGTTATGGTAGGGCTTTTTTTTTAATTACTTGCTATTTAAAAGTTACAGGTAAACTTTTTTTCCTGAAACTGTGTTTTGAGCTTGCTTGCTCAGCTGGTGCTTACCACCAGACCTATACCTCTAGATGGCTTTTTTCTGGTTATTTTGAGGTCCTGAGTTCAAATCCCAGTATGCCAAAACAAAAAGAAACTCAGGCCTGACGGAGACCTGCAGGACCTTGTCTGCATTTTGCAAGGCTCTCCGGGGATTCATCTGCACATGAAAGTTTGAGCAGTGGTCACCCAATCGCCCATTGTAAAAAAAAAAAAAACAAAACCCACAGGCTCAGCCTGTCTCACTCAGAAAGTGCCACAGGGGCTGGTTAACAACCTGGAAAAACATACATTTATTCTCCCACAGATCTGGAGACTAAAGTCCAACATCAAGGTGCTGGCACTTTGTTTCCCCTGAGAAGCTGCTCTCTGGCTGTGTCCTCATGTGGTGTAGCAAGCACACACAGGTGTTTTCTCCTCCTCTTACAAGGACTCTGTCCTCCCTAGCCAGGACCTCACCATCATGACTTCATGTAATCTTTACCACTGGGTAAAGGCGCCATTTCCAAGTACAGTCACACTGGGAGTGTGAACTTGGTATGGACACAAAGTCAGCCCACCTCATGTGGGAATCTTCTAAGCAAGACCTCAAAGATACACGACCCCAAGCAATGCAGGCCTTTTTTGTGATGAGAGTTGAATCCTGCTGCAAAATAATATATCATCAGTAAATCCTGAGCTTTTATAGATATGGGAATACCTTTCCTTGGTATGCATCCTTCCGTGAACATTTGGACAAGCAAATCTGGGCCTAGTGGTTTCCCTCGGGATGGTGGAGATCTGGGTCCACTCTCCTTTGAGTTCCATCGCTGAGGTCTGAAGTCAGCTGCCAATCTAGTGGCCACTTGGGTTTGTCAGATGAACCATCTTTTTTGTCTGAATTTTCTCTTCGTCTTTGCTGGTCTGCATTTTAGCCATGAGTTGTCATAGCTAAGACAATTTTGAGTCCTGTTCTATTTTGTATCTGTTATGATTCCTGAATCAAAGCATTAATAACATTTGCCAATTCCAGACAACCTCAGCCGCCATCTTTTTTGGATATTGTATCACATCATCTCCATGGTTTTCCTTCTACAATTCTGATTATGGGTCAAGGTGCGTGGCTCAGCAGTGGATTGCTTTCATTGCATACATGTTTGATATTACTCTACCAGATATTAAAACAAAGAAGTTCTGATTACAATATATGCTCAGTTTTTCTCTCTACTCTCCACAACTCAACTTTCCCATTGTATTTTCCATCTGTTTGACATTGTTTTAGATTCCTGGTAAATTCTATAAAATGGAATTCTAATTCACAAAATCTCTCTTTAGCTGTGTTGTATCTAGTGATGGTTGCTTACAAACCTCAACTACTTTTTATTTTTTGTCTGTTGTTGGGTTTGAACTCTGGGCCTGGGCACTGTCCCTCAGCTCTTCAGCTCAAGACAAGCGTTCTACCACTTGAGCCACAGAGCCATTTCTAGTTTTCTGAGTGGTTTATCGATGATAAGAGTCTCATGGGCTTTCATGCTCCAGCTGGCTTTGAACCGTGATCCTCAGATCTCAGCCTCCTGAGTAGCTAGGATTACAGGTGTGAGCCACCAGTGCCCAGCTACATGTCTTATTTATAGGATTTTCAACTGATTCTTTTACAACATGATTTTTAAAAAATTATTTCTTGTTCCTATTCTCAAGTATTTTATTCCCTTAAGTTTTATACCACTTAAGTATTGGTGCCTTAAAACCACCCCAATACCCAGTGGCTTATAATATTAAATTTTCAACACAACATATACCCATAGTTTGGGCTGGGGTCAGCGGATCCAGTTCAGGCTCAATGGACAGCTTTGTTCCTTGGGAGTTCTGTCCACCCATGAGGATGGGGCCGTTCCTCTCCTGAAAAGGGTAAGAAGTCAAGAGGACAAGTGAAAATACATGGGCCTTGGCTCAGAACTAGAATGCTTCCACTCCCACCTCATCCCCTTGGCCAGAGCAGGTCACATGGGAAATCCTCATGAAATCACATGAGCAAGAGGATTAGTGGAGACCATACCTCTTTAGTGGTGACAAGAGCAAAGTCATACAGCCCAGGATGCAGAGAGGAGTCATAATTAGGAGCTGATGCACCATCTTCTGGGTCAGTTCTAAGGTCTGAGACACCCCCATCCCAAGGGTCTATGCTGCTGCTGTGATTTCTCACACATGGCAGATCTTTTTGCAAATCCCTGTCTGTGGGACTGCTATGCTATATGCCTGAGAGGTTTCCTCTGAGAATACATGTTTGTTTCCATCAGGTACCCTGGGACACGACCAGCCTTTGCCTGCATCAAGTTGGTTCTTGGCATGAGTTTCCTTGGCCACAGGACTCAACTCCCACACCTAACAACCCGCTCGGAAATATACGTTCTTGTGGGAGAATAGGTGTGGTAACCTTTTCTATTTCCAAGTGTCAGAGGAAGAGGAAGAGAGAAAAATGCAAATTACTTAAATCAAGGTCTTATTCAAGTGAAGGAATTTGGAAACTTTTATGCAGGAGGGAAAAACTTTTAGGAAAGAAAACTTTCACAGGGAATGTCAAAACTTCTTTTGCTTAAAATGCAGAGACTGAAAACATTGAGAGAAGTTATTCAAGCAGATGTAAAAGAGCAAAGAAAAGATGGCGTGTTGGTTGGGTTTCTGTATCTATGATGGGGAACTATCCATATAGTGTGTGTTTACTTCGCTTCCTGGTGACCACATTTTAACCCTAGCATCCTTTGTGTCCAGGGGGACTGTGGCTTTGCTTTTTTTCCTACTTGGAAGAAGAGATTTTATTTTATTTTTTGTCAATTGTGGGGCTTGAACTTAGGGCCTGAGTGCCATGCCTGAACTTTTTCACTCAAGGCTGTCTACCCCTTTGGGCCACAACACCACTTCTGAGGGTTAACTGGAGATTAGAATCTTGTGGACTTTCTTGCCCAGGCTGGCTTTGAACTGCAATCCAGATCTCAGCCTCTGAGTAGCTAAGATTACAGGTGTGAGCCACTGACATCTGGCCAGAAGAAGAGGTTTTTGAAGCTGGAAAATGGAACTCTGCTACATGCCACAGACATGACCTTGGACACCTTACCTGGATGTGTCCATAGAAAATCTCACCAGCTGTTTGTGAGAATTAACAAGAGGCCATAAGTGAAGTTGGAAAGCATTTCTATCCCCTTATGAGCCCCCAGGGCCTCCCTCCAGCAGGAAGTCCATGGAAGCCCATGTGGGGAATGTGGAAAGGCATGACCAGTGGTGTGTTCCACATAGGCAAGACCTGTTCTTCCAGAACTATGCCCTCTGCCTCCCCATTCTGGAGCTCACCACTTCCCAACAAACTGGGCATCAACTGGTTTCTTGTTTCTGCACTGAAGATGTTGGGCTTTTCGTAGCATTTCTCATGGAGACAAATTCTTTCAACTTTGGTCTGAAATGTCTAGTTCCTTTTTCTCTTTGAAATATTTTGTTTCCTGTCCGTTGTGGAGCTTGAACTCTGGGCCTGGGTGCTGTCCCTCAGCTCTTCAGCTCAAAGTGAGTGTTCTACCACTTGAGCCACAGTGCTGCTTCCAGTTTTCTGGTGGTTAGAGATGAGTCTCATGGACTTTCCTGACTGGGCTGGCTTTGGACCAAAATCCTCCTGAGTAGCTAGGATTTCAGGCATGAGCCAGCTCTCTTTGAAATATTTTTATTTTAACCTGTTCCATCTCCCTGTAGCTGGCAGTGTTTCTAGTGGGCTGTCAGTCATCAGTCTTACTGCTGTTCCCCTGAACACAAGGTGTGCTCCCAAATGCAATGTGTTACCTCCTGTCTGCCTGCTTCTAGAAACTTCTCTGTACCTTTAGCTCACAGCATTCTATGTCTGCAGGTGTATTTTTCTTTGTATGCACGCATCATGTTGTGGAATGTTGAGCTACTTGGATGGGCCAGTTTGTCTTGTACCAATTTTGAAAATTTCCTAGCTACGATGCTTTCCAAGATTGCTCTCTAGAACTCTAGACACATACATGTTTGATGAATTAATTGTCTCACAAGTTTCAGATCCTAAGTTTAGATAATAGTACATAATTTCAGGGCAGAAATGTGTGTATACATAGTAAGAGAGTTCCTTCAATCATCTCTTCTGTTTACATGAAATACTGGGCACAAGTAATAAACCAATATTTATACAGGGCCGGGCACCAGTGGCTCATGCCTGTAATTCTAGCTACTCAGGGGGCAGAGATCTGAGGATCGCAGTTCAAAGCCAGCCCAGGCAGGAAAGTCCATGAGACTCTTATCTCCAATAAACCACTAGAAAACCAGAAGTGGCGCTGTGGCTCAAGCAGTAGAGCACTCGCCTTGAGCTGAAAGCTGAGGGACAGCGCCCAAGCCCACGACTGACAAAAAACAACAACAACAATATTCATACATTGCTATTAACCCCACTGTGTAATGGTCAGAGATTCTCTTCTCTGCTGTGTTGCTGTTAACAAAGTCCAGGCTACTTAGATTAACGCATTTCCCTCTCGTGTCCTATCTCTGGTCCAGGCTCCTACCAGGATACCATGTGACACTTGGCTGTTGTGTTTGCTTAGCAATTCTTCACTGCCACAGCTTCTTAGACACTTGTGGGTCTTTTCTTTACATGATCTGTCTGACAGCTTTGAGGAGTACTGGCTAGGCATTTTGTAAAATGTTCTTGAACTTGGACTTGTCTGATATCTTCCTTATGAGTACACTAGGGTAATGCGTGTTGTGAGAAAGAACGGAGCTCATGGCTGCTGTCAGCTCTGACCACCTGGCTGGAGGGAGCATTTCCCAGGTCCCCGTGCTCTCCTCTTACTGTTCCTCTCCTTAGCATCCTCCTCTCTGGGTGGAGGTCACTATCATGCAGCGGGGAGTGAGGACCACGTCACTGGTGGCAGAGTAGCACACGTGGTATTTGCAATTCTCCTGCAGGAGAGAGCTATCATTTTCCCTCGTTAATTTATTCAAAGGTTTGCCCCATCCCAGTATGGCCTCCTGAATATTTACTACATTTGTGTTATTTGGTTTGGAGGGCTGGTTTAGTCACATTCCCATTTCTAATGACTACCCCTCTTTTCCCTGAAGTTGAGCAGAAGCTCTTAATCGTTTGCCTCAACCCAAGCACCATGCATCAGTTGCTCCTCATCCCGCCATGTCAGGGGTGTGGGGCCGCCTGAGGGCAGGCCCGGGTCTGCCCAGCACCAGGCCTAGCCCATACGATCATCAGGTGTTGGGTTAATGACCCTTGTGAGGGCAGGCCTCAAGGCAGCTCAGGCTATTTTTGAAATACGGTCTGCTTTATTTCCCCGAGGACAGGCGGAACCGCAGTTCTCTCTGTTTCTCAGCACAGCTGTGCTGAGAAGACAGGTGTACACCACGACACTAAGGTTTCTATTGACTCAGATGGGCCTTGCACCACATTTCCAGATCTCAGCTTCCAGAGTCACTAGAATTATAGCAATGAGGCACTGCACACAGCTATAAAGGAAAGTTCTAGAAGCACAGCCTGCCCTTCCCTGTCCCTGCACCTGGGGGCTCCCTTCTGTCTCCTGACCTGCACCTGGACCTGGGGACCCCTTCTGTCTCCCTGCCCTGGGCCTGGGGGCCCCCTTCTGTCTCCCAGCCTGTCTCGAGGCAGGGCTTGTGGGGAGGGGGGCCTTGCCCTTCAGCAGACCGGGAGGAGCGGAGTGGGGGTAACGGCTGTCAGTGGTTCAGCACCTCCCTGCACAGAGCTCCTGTCCCCCTAATTGAGACACCCCCCCTTGCGTGGTCTGCTCCTGGAAGGCCCGTCTGCCCAGGTCTTGGTTTCCCTGTACCAGCGCTGCTGTTGGGTGTAGGGGCACACCGTTGCCATCCCCAGGACCTCTGGAGTGGGGCTCAGGGGGGACCCGGTGGGCTGAGTGCTGTGTCTTTCCCCAGGGAAGCAGCTGCCTTCCTTTACTAGCTGGCTGTGCTTCTCACAGGAAGAGAAGACGGTTGTAAAACGAAAATCCCGAGGTAGCCCTTGCCTTCCCTGACATCAGCCCCCAGAGAGCGGCTGGCACCTGGGCATCTGGGCCCGTGGCGGGTGGGGCACACCTGGGGAAGGGGGCTCTGTGTGCACAAGAGGGAGCCGCAGTCTGTCAGCAGGCACCTACTGTGTGCAGGAGGCCCTCCTAGCACTGGGGAACCAGTTGGCCCCAGGGGCGGCATCTGGCACCTGCAGGAGGAGGCAGGGTGGGCGTCATGGGAGCTGCCTGGGGGAGGAGTCCCTCAGCCTCAGCCTGTGGGGGCCCTGGGCTGCTGTAGGGTCACTGTCAGGTGACTGCAGCAGTCCTATCAGAGCTCAGACCACGAGGGGGAGGACCCAGGCTGGGCTCCCCACCCTCAGGGCCTAAACTAGTCCAGGAGGTGGGGGCGGGATTTCATGCCACACCCACCCAAGCCCCACCCCCACCAGGCCCTCCCCGCCCACCCGCTGCAGCCCGCCCTCACTTCCCTCCCCTCTCCTGACGCTCACTGCTGGCTCCTTGTCCCCAGCTATCCAACAGCCAGCACCCATGGATGAAGTCTGTACCACACCAGGCTGCGTGACAACAGGTAAGCCCCTCCCCCGGGCCTGGGCTGGGAGCGGAGCAACCCCCGCCGGATAAGAACCCGCCGTGACTTCTGGAAGCAAGCAGAATTCTCAGAGGGGTCCTGAGTGGAAAGGTCTCCCATGGCCTCCACCACTAGGGAATATCAGGCCCCCCTGTCCCCAGCACACTCTGGGTCCTGGGACATAGCTGCCCCTCCCCCAGGAGGGACCAGGTACCTCAGGGAGCAGGGGGAGCCAGGAGCCAAGCTGAGCCCTTCCTAAAAGCAGGTGCCCTTTCCACCGGCGGCCTCGGCCCTCGGGCAGAAGTGCCAGAGGCCTGGAGGGGCCACAAGGGCTCCTGCGGTTCAAAGGGACGGCCCTAGGGCTTGAATCAGTTGTCCCTCTGGCGTCCAGCCTCAAAGCAGCTCAGAGAGGGAGACTTATTCCCCAGGGCACACAGCCTGTCCCCAGGACTGGAGACTGCAGAGACGGTGTCAGGCCTCCCCCAACTCAGCTCCCTCTCCCTCCCGCGCCCGCCGGGGGTGGGCAGCTGCCAGGATCCTGCAAAATATGGACCCAACCAAGAAGCCGTGCGAGGACTTCTACCAGTACGCGTGCGGGGGCTGGCTCCGGCGCCACGTCATCCCCGAGACCCACTCGCGGTACAGCGTCTTCGACATCCTCCGGGATGAGCTGGAGGTCATCCTCAAAGGTGGAAAGCGGCCACTGCCTGGAGGGCGTTGCGGGGTCCAGCTGGGGCCACGCACAGAGGGTCGCCGCCCTGGGCACCTGGGAGCCATGCTGGGCGAGGCCCCCGTCCCCAGCAATCACCTCTGTCCAGCCTTCTCCTCTGCCCACAGGGGTGCTGGAGAATTCCACTGCCAAGGACCGGCCAGCTGTAGAGAAGGCCAAAATACTGTACCGTTCCTGCATGAATGAGAGTAAGTGGACTTGAAGGGGTCAGCTCCCAGAGCTGCCCGCACCCCAGCCAGCAGTAGCACTACCTGGGGCTGGTACAGGAGGATCTGTATGCTGTGCTGCCCAGCTGGCCAGGGGCCAGGCCCCCTGTGTGGTGCAGGCTCACCACCAGACCTGTCCATCACCCAAGACACACACCGTCCAATTGCAGCAGGCCAGGGGGGTTCCTGCCTGGGAGGCCAGCAACGTGTGTGCATGTGGACATGTGTACGTCACATGTGCGTGTTATCCGGGATGCGTGTACATTAGTGTGTGTTGTACTGTATATGGTGGTATGCGTGTATGCATGTGGACTATGGGTGAGTGTATGTTGTGTGTGTGTTTGTATACACATGTTTTGTCTGCAGGGCTGTGTGTACACATGGGTATGTGTGAGGATATGTAGATGTGTGTTTATGTGTCTTGTGTGAATGGCTATGTGTCCATATGTGCATTGGGGTGTGCACGCATGTACACATGTGTGAAGGAGCATGTGTAGGTGGGTGTGTACATGTTTGGTGTGTGGTTGTGTATACGCGTGCATGTACACATGCGTGCATAGGTGTGTTACGGGGAAGGTTTTCAGTGCCACGATTCCTGTTTAAAAGATGTGCATGCTGGGGGTGCCCTGGCCCAGTCCCTGAAGCGCTGGGGCTGGGGCTTGCAAACCAGCCTCTGGGCACCCCCTCAGCACCTCCACCAGGCTCACCCGGCCCCCCTTCCCCGCCACCTGCCTGCAGGCGCTGTCTGTGGTAGCAGTGACCCCTCCCCCCCAGCTCTGCTTCCCTCCCGGCTGGCCGGCCGGCCCTCATCGCCACCCTGGCTCTGCACACGCCACACGTTCTTAGCTTCATTTGGTGTTCTCTCAAGGTTTGATCGGATCGGCACCATGAGTGGCCGGCTTGCCTCTCCTGAGAGCAGCAGCTAGTCTCTGTGGACATTCTCTTCTGTGTCCTTACTCCCTTTGCCCAGGCTTGCCTCCCAGCTGCCAGCTCCCAGGCCTTCATCCTGGTCCGAGGGCTCAGGACTAGTGTCAGCCCCAGGGCCCTTGCATGCCTGAGCGCAGTCCTCGCAGGCTGCTGGGGCTGAGTGTGCAGGAGGGCTGGGCGTCGGTGGCGTGTGATAGCTCGTGGCCAGACCCCTGGAGTGCAGGTGACTGAGCTCTGCGTCTCTTCTCAGGTATGATAGAGAAGCGAGACTCCCAGCCCCTGTTGAACATCTTAGAGGTGGTGGGAGGCTGGCCGGTGGCCATGGACAGGTGGAATGAGACCATAGGTAAGGCCGGGCTGCTCCCAGGGGACGCCAAGAGGCCCGTGTCTGCTAGAGCCGGCCTCGGGGTCCCGGGAGATGGCTCAGGTCCCACAGCAGGAAGGCGACCCCGGCTGGGACAGAGCCTCTGTGTGGCCGGCCCCCCTGGCGTATCCCAGGCCCCGCCGGGTGCGTGAACTCTGGGAGGCATGTGGGACAGAGTGGGTGGCCCTGAGCTGCTGTGTCCCTCAGGGACACGGGAAGGGGAGCGGGGATCTCCCCCCAGCCCTCAAGGCCCACGGTGGACCCTCTGTGGTGAGCCAGAGGGTTCCCCTCCAGGCCCGGAGTCCCAAGCATAGGAGGGCAAGGGGCCAGGCTGAGACCCAGAGCCCCCCCACCCTCCCCCGCCTGGTCTCCCAGTGCGATGCTCACTCCCCAGGCCCCAAGTGGGAGCTGGAGCGGCAGCTGGCTGTGATGAACGCACAGTTCAACAGGCGTGTGCTCATCGACCTCTTCATCTGGAATGATGACCAGAACTCCAGCCGGCACATCATCTACGTAGGGGTCCCCCTGGGGGCTGGGTGGGCGGCCCCCTGCGTCCCGCACTGGGGGCGGGAGGTGGCAGGGGCATCAGGTCTGCGTGTAGATCCAGCTTCCCGCTCCCTGCCCACTTCAGAGCCTGCAGGGCTGGGGGGGGAGAACAGGGGTGAGTGGAGGGGGCAGGGATGGGGGGGGGTGCGGCGCAGAAACAGAGCTGGGGCCCAGGGTTGAGCTGGGAGGATGTGCAGTCGCCTGGTTCTCACAATGAGACCTTCCACACCTGGATAGGAAGCCTGGCCCGAGAACCGTGGCTGCCACAGGTGCATGCTGGGCAGGCTGAGGGCACGGGCAGGCCTGGTGTGCATCCCCTTCCTCCAGCCCAGCCCCGCAGCGGGAGCAACATACCACAGCACCCCCGAGGGGGGAAATCAAGGGTCCTGGGCACCGCGGCCCATGACAAGGGTCACACCTTGTGTTTCCAGATAGACCAGCCCACCTTGGGCATGCCCTCCCGCGAGTACTACTTCAATGAGGGCAGCAACCAGAAGGTGAGCGTGCACCCCCCCCCCCGCGGCCTTGGGTCTCCCAGCTGCCACCAGTCCTTCCAGCCCCACAGAGAGCTTCCCTGAGCACTTGGGCTTTAAGCCTGAGTGAGTGCAGAGGCAATGTGGACATGCAGCTTCGACCGCCCCCTGCCAGTTCAGGGGTGAGCCCACCAGCCAGGCAGCCTACGGAGCAGAGGGTGTCACCCCAACCACCTGTGCTGACCCCCGTCCGTTCTACCAGTCCCCAGAGGCCCACGGGCAGTCAGTCCTGAGCCGGGCCTGCTCTGGCCTCAGGAGGTCGGTGAGGAGAGGAGTGCGGGAACCTGGCAAGCTAGGGCCAGGGGCCTGGAGGCCGGCAGCCCAGAGACAGCCAGGGAAGGGCTGCGGAGACCCAGGCTCAGGAAAGAAGGCAAGGGGCATGGAGGACAGTGACAGGCAGGGCCAACGCTGCTGTGAGGGCCTCCTGGAGGAGGGGGGCCCAAGCTGGGCTGGGAAGGATGGGTTAAGCCAGAAAGAAAGACCAGAAGGCCCATGAGCGGAGGCTGGAGGCCAGGTTGGCCTAGTGGTATCGGCCTGTGGGGTGCCAAGCCGTTCAGCCTCGGAGGTAAGTCCCAACCGGGATGGGGAAGGAGGAAGTGCGGTGGCCCACGTGCTCCTGAGACAGTGAATCTCTGGCCAGGCAGCTTGGCCGGGGCCTCCCTGAGTCCCCACCGGGCAACAGCCCTGCCCATGCAGCCCACAGGGCTGTCTTGGGCCACAGAGGCTCCGCTGCGGGCCACGTGGCCAGCAAGGATGCGGCGGGGACGGGAGCTCAGCCAGGAGCTGCCCAGCAAACCCCGGGCACTCTGTTCCACAATGGGCGGGAAGCCGAGCCGGCCCACAGAGCACGCCAGGCCCACACAGCCTCATACTGGAAGTGAGGTCATGGCCGCGGGCCCAGCCTGGACAGGGCCAGCGCCACAGAGCCCGCTGGACCAGCTTCCGGGGTGCACCACAACCGCATCCCACTCCTACCACACCCCACGGGCCTCCCGGGGTGCACCAAGTCACACCCCCCACCCCACAGGCCTCCCGGGGTGCACCACAACCGCATCCCACTCCTACCGCACCCCACGGGCCTCCCGGGGTACACCGAGTCACACCCCCCACCCCACAGGCCTCCCGGGGTGCACCACAACCGCATCCCACTCCTACCGCACCCCACGGGCCTCCCGGGGTGCACCGAGCCACACCCCCACCCCACGGGCCTCCTGGGGTGCACCGAGCCACACCCCCACCCCACGGGCCTCCCGGGGTACACCACAACCGCATCCCACTCCTACCACACCCCACGGGCCTCCTGGGGTGTACCGAGCCACACCCCCACCCCACGGGCCTCCCGGGGTGCACCGAGTCACACCCCCACCCCACGGGCCTCCCGGGGTGCACCGAGCCACACCCCCACCCCACGGGCCTCCCGGGGTGTACCGAGCCACACCCCCACCCCACGGGCCTCCCGGGGTGCACCGAGTCATACCCCCACCCCACGGGCCTCCCGGGGTGCACCACAACCACATCCCACTCCTACCGCACCCCACGGGCCTCCCGGGGTGCACCAAGTCACACCCCCACCCCAAGGGCCTCCCGGGGTGCACCACAACCACATCCCACGCCCACCCCCACCCCACAGAGCTCCCCGGGGTGCACCGGGTCCCCCGTCCCCACCCCACAGAGCTTCCTGGGGTGCACCGGGTCCCCCGCCCGCCCCCACCCCACAGAGCTTCCCGGGGTGCACCGGGTCCCCCGCCCCCACCCCACAGAGCTCCCCGGGGTGCACTGGGTCCCCCGCCTGCCCCCACCCCGCAGAGCTCCCCGGGGTGCACTGGGTCCCCCACCTGCCCCCACCCCACAGAGCTTCCCGGGGTGCACCGGGTCCCCCGCCCCCACCCCACAGAGCTCCCCGGGGTGCACTGGGTCCCCCGCCTGCCCCCACCCCGCAGAGCTCCCCGGGGTGCACTGGGTCCCCCACCTGCCCCCACCCCACAGAGCTTCCCGGGGTGCACCGGGTCTCACGCCCGCCCCCACAGAGCTTCCCGGGGTGCACCGGGTCCCCCGCCTGCCCCCACCCCACAGAGCTTCCCGGGGTGCACCGGGTCCCTCGCCTGCCCCCACCCCACAGAGCTTCCCGGGGTGCACCGGGTCTCACGCCCACCCCACAGAGCTTCCCGGGGTGCACTGGGTCCCCCGCCCGCCCCCACCCCACAGAGCTTCCTGGGGTGCACCGGGTCCCCCGCCCCCACCCCACAGAGCTTCCTGGGGTGCACCGGGTCCCCCGCCCCCAC